GATAGTCGATGATCTCTGAAACTAGGCTTGGAATGTCTGGAACGAGGTCCCACTTCTCTAGGAAGAGGGTCGTTTCAGACTTATAAGGGTCAGAATCGTCGGTTTCCGGGTCCTTTCGCATTCCATCGTAGTCGTAACATATTCACACAGTATACTTGGGTTCTGGATAATCCACACATTTGTAGTTCCTGGCGTTCTTGCGGTATCTTGCGGTGCATTGAGTTGTTGTAGTCTGAAGCGATGATATTTAGTGTCTTGAGCCAAGGCAATACAGGTTGTCTTACGCGATACGTTCGCGTAGACAATTTGAGCTTCTTCTTGGCAACCTATATTCAGGACGGGGGCGGTACCGGACCGAGAACATTTACGTTTCAGAGTGTACATCACTGGAACGCGTGCTTCCGGGACCTAAGGGCCCTTCCTTGGCTCTCCACACACTCACCATCACATCCAACTTTCTTTCCACACTTGTCGCACCATCTGCTTCACCTCCACCAATCAATGTCTCCGGATCTCCATTGTCGCACTCCAAAATCAGTCTATCCTGAAAACTGGGAAACTGCCTCATCACATTCGCGTAAACGTTGGTTCACTTGTTCTCGAGCTTTGGTAATTTTGCATCCGATATCGCCATCTTCTCGGATCTCGATCATGCCTGCGAGTCCTCCCCACCGGGATCACTGCTTCCAAGGTAGATCTAGGATCCCAGCCATGTATCATGTAGAAAGAGTTTCACCTCGGATCCGATCTCTTGCAGTGTTGATCGCGAAGGTGAGTCGCTCAGCATATTCGCCCCAATCTCGTTGATCCAGATCTTGCACATACATATTAAGAGCCCTGGTAGTTGTCTGGACCATACGCTCTGCGGATCCATTAGCTTGGGGTCGATAAGCCATACTAGCCCGTTTACGTTGTCCCAGGATCTTGTTGAAAGACTTATAGAAGTCAGGCATAAAGCCTGGCTCCCGATCGTGTCGGATCACCTCGCTCGCACCAAATCGGCGGAAGACACATTCCTCATAGGTCTCAGCGATTGTCTGAGCGGATCTAGAGGCGCTGGCTTTGGCGATCACATATCGCGAGAATAGATCCACGAAGATCAACAATTTGCCATTGGAAGATCTAGGCAATGAAGGTATATGATCCATGGCAATGATCTGGAATGGGTATGTCGCCTGAAGGTTACCAGGTGACTCACCCTGGATCCGAGGCCGTCCTTTGCTTGTTTCACATTCTCCCACATATCGCTGTACACGCTTGTACAGCCCTCTCCAGTGGAAATGATCACGAATCCGATCATAGGTGCGACCAATCCCTTGATGACCATCTTGTAGGCTCGTACGGTAGTGATGCAAAATATCCTGTTGAAGCGTCTCAGGTATCACCAGTCGCATCAACTTATCTCGATCGGCAGCTGCTTCTTTAGTTGTCGGGCAGTAGAAGAGTAGATCCGACTGTTCCACTTCATAATTCATAGCAATTGACCCAAACATCTTAGCATCTTCTTGTGTCAGATCCCGGATCTCCCCAACCAAATACTTCTTCAAGCCCAGGATCCACGACTCTTCGTCCTGCGCTTGCCGGATCCACTCGATCCGTAGCTCTCTCACGACCACCTCTCGTATGGAGTCTGGATCAGATCCAATACGCACTCCAGATCTAGTCTTAGATCGGGTCGTCACAGCTGATATCTGTGCGATCTCGTCTTCGACTTTCACTATAAGGATCTCATCCAACCGATTTAAAGTTATGAGATCTTGGATCTTCATGTCAGGCTCTATCTCGATCCCACATTGCCGTTGCAGAGCAGCGCTTGCTAAGCTGTCAGCACTCCCGTTCCAATCTCGTTTGACGTGTAACAGCTAATGATCTGGCCAAGTACATAGTCGGTCCAAAGCCCGCTGGCGTAACAGTGTCAGATCCGGTGCCTTACAATCGATCTCACCTCGTACTTGTCGGATCACCAGGTTCGAGTCTCTGCAGATCACCAGACGTCGCGGATCCAGATCTTCTAATAGATCCAAACATAGCAACAGTCCATGGTATTCCGCCTCGTTCACCGTCAAGCCTTCGGCATACCCAGATCTAGCCTTCAGCACCCTCCATTCGGGCAGCCTCCACAAGATCGCTCTGTAGGCGCCTCCACCTCTCTTGACACGAACAGATCCATCAAAACATACGACGTATAGCTCCTCCTCGCGTCTAATAGTGGGGATCGGGGCTTGGATCTTGCGTCTTGGCTCCTTTCTTGGGGCAATAGAGATCAATTCTTTATCCATTTCGGATCTAGGGGTAATACTAGCCGCCAATGATCCTAAGATCTCGTCCTCTCCTTTGACACATTTGGTGATTTCCAGAGTCCATGGCGACAACAGAGCAGCCCACTGTCCTAGACGTCCTTGTAGGGTTGTGGATCTGAAGAGCCACGCCAACGTTGAGTGTCGGGTTGACACGTGGATCGGGGGTCCGACTAGTGTGTTGTAGTTAAGATCCAGGATCCTCAGAGGGCTAATACCTCCGTCTCCGCGATGCCATAGTTTAGCTCATTCGACTTCAGAGTGCGGCTAGTAAACATCGAGGGGTAATAGATCTGGTCGTATTCCTGCATCAGTGATCCCGAGATGGCCCAATCACTAGCATATACCACAACCGTGGCCCTCCGATCTGGATCAAAGTGCCGTAGGATCGGAGTAGTAGCGATCTTGGCTTTGAGCGTACTTAAGGCTCGATGGGCATGGATCCAACGCGGATCCACCTCGGTAGGATCTGGCGCCTCCAGACCCAAAGTCTTTTGGTGGTCGACCTCCTGATCCTCCTGTGATCCTCGATCCACGTTCTCCGCTTCCAACACTTGTTGGATCCGCGCTTGGGTAGCCTCTTTCACCATCGCAGCAAAGTCGATTTCTCGCAATTCATACAGAACTGACGCATAAATCGCATAGTCTTCAATGAACCGGCTGCAATAGTTCAGGCTTCCCAAAAATGACCGCATCACTCTGAGGGATCCCGGGAATGCTAGATCCGTCAATGCCGACAGGTCTTTCGGATTCGCCCCAGTCCATTGTGTCACCGAGATATTCCACCTTAGGCATTCCCCAGAAACTCTTGACCACACTGATCGACAGATTCCACTTATCGCACGCTTCGAGTAAACTTTCGACTCGATCGCATAGTTGATCCCAGTTGTTGGCGGGTATCAGGATGTCGTCGATATATGATCTGCGACCCAGCACCGATGGCTTGCCTGGATCCACGGGTTCCCCATCTTCAAACACGTCCAGGGTATCTCCGTGATCTTCCCACTTCGGGATCCGAGTGAATCCATATAGCGCGTTGTCGATCATACGCTGGTAGATTCTTCAAGCCAATGGCATTCGATTCCACTCGAATAACCCAAAGGAGGTGATAAAAGTCGAGATCTGAAAGCCGAGATCAAACGAGCACGATCCGTCATTTTCACCACCCAAAATCCGCTCGCCATATCCAAAGAATAGTACCAAAGTGTCGACTCCAGATCTTCGAGTAGGTCGTTGACCTAGGGCATTGGGTAGACCATTAGCTGAGTTAAACTGTTAACCAGGCGATAATTGATACACAACATGATATCCACTCCATTTTTCTTGATGATCACCACGATCGGGGAAGCCCATGGTGATCTAGAGTAGTTGATCATCTTAGTGGACAGTAGACCCTTGATCAAGTCTGCCAGCTTCTCCCTGAACTGGATCCGCAACTTACTACACTTCAGGGCGAAAGGCCTGGCTCCTCCGACGTCGATGTCCCACACCACACCTCTAGCCGCCGGCGGAAGGGCATTTCCTTTGCCTATCAGGAGATGTCGTAACTTCCAGATCCTTTGGCGGAGTCGATCAATTTCTTCTGGGGTCTGATTATCAGATCCACATAGCTGAATGTCCTCGATCTTCACATCTTCCGTCGTCACAGGCACTTCCGGCAGTACCGCCATCTGACCATCGACGTCTTCTGCGTATAGATCGTTTCCTTCATGGTAGTATGCACATTCATCATAATCTTGACCTGCGTCCCAGGTGAGGTCCAGATCCGATGTGCCTGGTTGATCTTCAACAGCAGGTGATGGATCCATGTCCCTTTTTTGCGACATAGATGCGGCGCACTTGTCGTTCAACGGATCACCGGTCACATGTCCCGTCCCAGATTGTACACTCATCATTGATGGAAGATCCGGTCCGCCGCATTTCGACGGTGATGTTCCTTGATCTTGACCTCTCGAATGTAGTTGATCCTGACTGACAACCCCAATTTCATCACGGTCATCCTCTTCTCGCATATCCACTACGTCTGTAGTTTCCTCCAACGAGAGATTAGTCGCCCACACGTCTGACGTCATTTGATCGAGATCTTCTAGCGCCTCCTTGACCGTTACGGCATGCGATATAGAGTCTTCGTCTGCGATAGACGACAGATCCGACTCCTCACATGCGACAGACGCTAGATCCAACGGTCGATTTTCCGACGGCGACTTGTCCGACGGCGACTCGTCGGAGGGTAGGCAGTCAGAAATACCTTGATCCTGACTCGCCTCGACCTTCCGACACTGGATCAACGTTGTCTTCGGCCTTTGGAGTATTGCGCGCGGAGTTTCGTACTGAGGCCGCTCCACCGTGGGCAACAGCGGGATCTTGACCTCCATTTCTTCGGATCGGGTGTCCGGCGTTCCTCCAAAGCTAGATTCAGCCACTCCATGTAACGACGAGAGCCGATCGAAATAAAACCCGGTATATGTGGCACATGGTCTCTGGTCAGCCAGATCCCGATCCGTTGGTCTTGTTGTAGGATCAACATCTCGTCTCCGATGTTGGCGATCGAGATATATTTCGTCACACCGGATATTGTCGGCACCTAGTGATCTCCACGCGTGACCCACAGCTTGTCGTGGATCGACGACCTCAGGCGCAATGCGAGTTCCACCGACTCCCCCGCTTGAATCCGATGGTATTGGCCGACGTTTACGATCTTCGCTTTATCGCTATAAAGCTGTCGCCTCCCGCTAAGCTGAATCCGGTCTTCATCCGGCAAAATGATCGATATATGGGGTAAATCTAGGCGGATCCCGGTTGGAACCATGAAGTCCATACCAAGTATAGCTGTTGGCCAGTCAGATCACCCACCCAGATATCGAAAAAAATATACCAGTGATGCAGCGAGAGTTACCTTGATCCGGGTTCTTCCTTCCGTCTGGTAAACATTATCTCCAATTCCCACACAGTCCTGGATCTTACTCCAGTCGATATAGCACCCAACCTTACGAGCAAAGGCGGTGTCCACGATGGACACCTCGGCGCCGGTATCTAAGAGTAAGATCGCCTTCTCATTGTGGATCTTGCCTGTGATCTTCGCCTGGCGAAACCATTTACCTGGCGAATGGTGTTTCCAGTAACCACGGGACTCTCCTGGTAGCAGATCCATGGTCGTCGACTGCCGATACTCCGCGATCTTGCTAGGCTTTTGGATCTTCGGAGTAACTTCATGATCTGTGGGTTTGAACCATAATCGAGATCCTGCTGTCTCCAATAGCCTCGTGATTCTCCTGGTTGGAGATCTACGCTCATGGTGACCTCGGATCTGGCATATTCGTCGACTTGGCGAAGACTTGAAATTGCGAAGGTGCGTTTCCCATGCAGATCACGTGTATTACCGTGTAGATCTGGTCTTTTACTAACCTGATCTACGGATGTCTTGTTCACAAATGCATAGATGCAGTAGCTAGAACGCTCGGCTCGTATCGGATTCCACCCCGACGAGCGTCCTAGTTTAGCATCTTCTCAGCAGCCTCGGGTAACATACCCATGTGCTTCGTGGGGTTAAACCACTGACGGATCTGGTTATAGAACTCTTCCGTCGAATATTTTCCCATGTCATGTAGCTCTCCCCATCCACGACACACGAAGAGGCAGTGATCCGAGGGGTATCCTCTCTTGCCACACTTCGTCCATGTAACACGCCTCCAGCAACCAAGATCTGAGTGTTTTCTGGATCCACAGTGTGAGCGCCGATCCCGGTTGAAGCCATTGCCGTGGATCTTCGAGTTGTGATCTTGGTGACCATGATCACGGTCTCGAAGTCGTGGATCCAGGTTCAGCGACTCTTTATCTACCTTCGGGGTGACATCTTCATTCGCTGCTAGGAAGATCCTGCGAACGCGGCCTTCTTCTGACGATTCTTAGCCCGATGTCGAGCTCGGAGGACCTCCTCAAGATCATCCGCGTCAGTCAACCGCAGCAAGGTTAGCCTCTCTGCCAGATCTTGATCATGTCATGATCAACATGTTCGCGTCGTTCCTTCGCATTGCCATCCTTGATCTTCAATCTCGCACAGAGTCCAGCCACATTGAGCCGATACAAGTAGTCCAGCGGCGACTCGTCGGATCTGCGTCGTGTATGGTAGTATTGCCTCGCTACCGATACTCCAAGCCCGCAGTACTGGATCTGGAAACTTCGTAGTAGATCACTCCATTTGTTGCGAGTGGATCTGCTCAGCTGGCGATACCAGTTCTTCGCGGATCCAGCGAGGAGATCTGCGAAGGTCAAGCACTTTTCGTCATCCGATGCTTGATTCCCCATGAACGCGGACTTGACTTTGCACATCCACGCTCGCGCTCGGTCTTCGTCTTGATCCTTGCCAGCGAACTCTTTGAGATCCGAGATCGCAGAGATCCGAACACGCTGTATCATGGTGGAACCTGTGGATCCAGCAGTAGCAGTGGCCACGGTGGCTTGTGCCGAGGTGGGAAAATCTACATCGTCTGGGTCGTACTCCCAGCGAGATCCATGATCGGAAGATCGAATGGACTCCATCTCGACGTCCTGTGATCCTTGATGCTGTGGACGTGTAGAAGCTGGATCTTTGTTCGCCTCTCGTTCTTCGGCCAGGTATCGGTCCATTGCAGCATTGAAAAACTTCTGCAAGTACCGACAGATCGGTCTGAACTCTCGGTGGCTGTGGCATGATTCTTTGGTGCAGATTCATTATTGCGGCGACTGCTTCTAGCTGGACTAGAGCAGAGGATCTTGGATCTTGCCTCCAGCATTGATGCCCCAGAGGGTCCTAGG